CACACACACACACTCTCTCGCAATTATTGAGCACCATTCCTTCCCCCCGTCCCATCCCAAATCCTTATCCTAACCCCTTCCCAGTATATATAATCATAATAGCATGTCGCTTTCCCCTGATATCTCCCACCCTTCCTTCTGTAAGCCCGTGACCGCACTCTCCCAGTTAGTCTGTCTTCTACCCCGTTGGTCATAATCACACCCCCACCAAACACACCATCAAATGAACAAATCCACAAGGGCCGTGACGAGGATTCGAACCTGCGTCCGGGAGCATCCCAGACACTGCCTTAATCGACTGAGCTACGACAGGGTTAAAAGGGTTGAAACCGAAGTATTACTGACCGCGAAGTTCTAAACGACCATGTTGCTGCAACGTTGAAACTAGGTTTAACACCTAACAATTGTAACAGTTTGTAAAAACAATTATAAGATGTAACAACTTTATTGGGTGGACGAGGGGACAAGGGAGAGGGGAATGGTGGGGAGGACTAAGAGACAGAGAAAGCTTCCGTGGCTTCAAGTTGGCTGTGGCTTTATTACAAGATGTAACAGGCAGGAAATTTCATACGGCCCCATTACCAGATTTGAGTTGCTGGAAACCGCGAACTGAAGAACTATAAAAAAATCAGTATTTTTTACTATAAAACTAGCTAGATATTTAATTTTTAGCAGTTGCTTCCCGTTCCAGAGAACGCGGGAAGCAACCTGTTAAGATACTGTTAAGATAAGTCAGCTTATCTTAACAGTAGCCCGAAAAAAAGTAGCAAGTAGCGACATACACAGCTGGAGTTTGTGTTGGGCTACAAGTAGCCCAATCTGGCCGGGCTACAAGTAGCCCAATCTGGCCGGGCTACAAGTAGCCCAATCTGGCCGGGCTACAAGTAGCCCAATCTGCCCCCCCCCACCCCCTCTGTAGCCGACCCAACACGGCGCCGTCTCTCAGAATACGCCTTAAGCCACTCAAGTATTCACCGCTAATTGATTTCTAGCTTGTAATGTGTAGGGGTGTGTGGAACAGCAACTTCCCCCCCTGGCACACGGGACGACCTCCCTTCCCCTTTCGGTACCTTTGGACGACCCCCCTCGGCACCTTTGGACGACCCCCCTCGGCACCTTTGGACGACCCCTTCGGCACCCTTGGACGACCCCTTCGGCACCCTTGGACGACCCCTTCGGCACCCTTGGACGACCCCTTCGGCACCCTTGGACGACCCCTTCGGCACCTTTGGACGACCCCCCCCCCGGCCCCCTTTCGGCACCCTTGGACGACCCCTTCGGCACCCTTGGACGACCCCTTCGGCACCCTTGGACGACCCCTTCGGCACCCTTGGACGACCCCCTCGGCACCTTTGGACGACCCCTCGGCACCTTTGGACGACCCCTCGGCACCTTTGGACGACCCCTCGGCACCTTTGGACGACCCCTCGGCACCTTTGGACGACCCCCCCGGCACCTCTGGACGACCCCCCCGGGCACCTCTGGACAAAGGCCATATACCTAAGTCAGGACTCCATTAGCATTTATACAACCACGTTCGAAACCTGTACATCTTTCCTTACTCATAGCGGCATTGTTTACATTTATTAAACGGTTTACTGAGGTTGTAAACTCCACAACCCAAGGATATTACTGGTGTAAACACACTCGCAGTTCTGGGCTCATAAACGGTTTAATTTGTGTAAACCAAGCCTCCGTGATTCAGGAAAGATGCACGGGTTTCGTATGGTCGTGTAAATGTTTAGTGAATCTTGTGCAGCGGTTGGCACGCCTGCCTGGGCAGCGGTTGGCACGCCTGCCTGGGCAGCGGTTGGCACGCCTGCCTGGGCAGCGGTTGGCACGCCTGCCTGGGCAGCGGTTGGCACGCCTGCCTGGGCAGCGGTTGGCACGCCTGCCTGGGCAGCGGTTGGCACGCCTGCCTGGGCAGCGGTTGGCACGCCTGCCTGGGCAGCGGTTGGCACGCCTGCCTGGGCAGCGGTTGGCACGCCTGCCTGGGCAGCGGTTGGCACGCCTGCCTGGGCAGCGGTTGGCGCGCCTGCCTGGGCAGCGGTTGGCGCGCCTGCCTGGGCAGCGGTTGGCGCGCCTGCCTGGGCAGCGGTTGGCGCGCCTGCCTGGGCAACGGTTGGCGCGCCTGCCTGGGCAGCGGTTGGCACGTTGTGGTCAAACTGGTAGACTCGACTACAACTGGTCTCATACTACTACTATTTTTTTCCGCCACACCACACACACACCCCAGGAAGCAGCCCGTGACAGCTGACTAACACCCAGGTACCTATTTTACTGCTAGTAACAGGGGCATAGGGGTGTAAGAAACTCTGCCCATTGTTTCTCGCCGGCACCTGGGATCACAGGATCACGCGTCCAGAGTGCTGTCTGCTCGGCCACTGGCTCCCCCCGTGTGTGTGTGTGTGTGTTGGGGAGGGTTATGGTAGGCCAGGAGAGTGGTGGAGGCTGGTGTTACCATGGTGATGATGGTGAACTGACCTGGTTATTGCCTCTCCTGCAGCAGCTGGTACACCAGGGTTCTCTTCCCCTACCCCCCCACACAACCCTTTCACTGTCCTCACCCCAAACACAGTCGTCACCTATTAAAACTGGAGGATCAAGTAATGCATCACAATGTGTGTTAAAGAAAGCAGCACACAAACTCAGTAAGCCTCTGGGATGGGATGGCTCTCTCTGTCTCTCTCTCTCTCTCTCTCTCTCTCTCTCTCTCTCTCTCTCTCTCTCTCTCTCTCTCTCTCTCTCTCTCTCTCTCAGCATGTGTTTGATGTATGCATACATGTTTGTATGAATACAAATACGTTTCCTATGTATGAAAGAATACATTTCTGTGTGAATTATACTTTTGCCCACGGACCTTGAACCATTTTATCATTTTAAACCTGGAAACCTCAGTGAGCAACGAGTCTCAACACTCTGCACGCAATTTCCAGGACCTCTGGAAACTCCAGCGAGCCTCGTGTCTCTGCACGCAATTTCCAGGACCTCTGGAAACTCCAGCGAGCCTCGTGTCTCTGCACGCAATTTCCAGGACCTCTGGAAACTCCAGCGAGCCTCGTGTCAATGCACGCAACTTCCAGAACCTCTGGAAACTCCAGCGAGCCTCGTGTCTCTGCACGCAATTTCCAGGACCTCTGGAAACTCCAGCGAGCCTCGTGTCTCTGCACGCAATTTCCAGGATCTCTGGAAACTCCAGCGAGCCTCGTGTCTCTGCACGCAATTTCCAGGACCTCTGGAAACTCCAGCGAGCCTCGTGTGTCTGCACGCAATTTCCAGGACCTCTGAAACATTTCCAGAACGTTTCCATACCTTCACAGCCCATTACGAAGCAGACGTAAGATTAATGATAGTCATGGTTCAAAAATTCACCAATCAAATCGTGTATGACGCAAAAAATCAATATTCAGGCAAAATATTTCACTGTAATCAGCATATTCCAGTGCTTTTGAGCGCTATGTAGGTACCTAATAAGGTGTAGATTATGTGTACTCACACAGATGTAGTGACCTAGGAAGTAGGTTTGGAGTGTACGGACGAGCCAGGGAGCAGGTACGAAAGCTCTTGGGCTTGTCTTGGCGGGTCATTTGTTCCACTTTTACAACTTCAAGGTGGCCCTCTTGTGTGTTCCATAACGTATGTGTGGTCTTCCAGTGTGGGGCCATGACCCCCGGTGTGATCGGGTGTGGCCTAATTCCCCATCCCCCCGCCGGCACTCTGATGGTAATCTTGGGCATGGTATTTTATCAAATCGCCTCATTCTTTGGGGCACACGTGAGGAACACAAATGCGAACAAGCCTGAACGGTCTGCAGGCATATATGCAACTGAAAACCTACCATCCTCTTTTGTCCGGTCGTGATGGTCGAGTGGTTAAGGGATCCTGTACATCAGTTGCAGTGCTTCTGGCAGTATGGGTTCGAGTCGCTTCTGGGGTGTGAGTTTTCAGTTATATATATATATATATATATATATATATATATATATATATATATATATATATATATATATATATATATATATATATATATATATATATACACACACACACACACACACACACACACACACACACACATATATACCCGAAAGCCACTAACACTAGTAGCCTCGACGAAGGACAGGAAGCCGACGGCTTGTCGAAAGCCAAATCTGTAGACATACAGCAGTATATACGCAAAGCTGGCGAGCCTGACCCCGGGACCTTGTATACATGGTTAGAACAGGAATAAGTTTCGTACTTCAGCTGTGTAAAACAACGTAGATTCATCAAGCAATTGCATGATCACTTACGAAACCTTGTACAGGTTTCCTGCATCATAGCGGCCTGATCTGTATTTACAAATTGGAATGCACTTAAGGAGCAGGTTGTGGAAGCAAACTCTATTCATAATTTTAAAACTAGATGTGATAGGGAAATGGGAGAGGAGTCATTGCTGTAAATTACCGGTGGCTGGAAAGGCGGGATCCAAGAGCTTGATCCTACAGGCACAAACAGGTGAGTGCAGGCGCGCGCGCGCACACACAGACCGGTACCAATAACAATGCAACCCGCTCTCGCACAAGACAGTACATATATTACTTGTTGCTTATAGTCACTATTTCTCTTATAAATAAATAAATATGTGACATATTCCGAACCATATTTTTTTCAAGGCATTAACTTTTCCTCTCAGTTTTATTAAACAATAGAGATTTTATACAAAATTTGACAATATCCTGAATTACTTTAAAATTTATTTAAATATTTTAGTTTTGTTTTATTATTTTTATAAAACTAATATCAATATAGGTATTGGTTCAGTACTAATTGTAATATCTTAACATACTAAGAAGGTTAGGTTAGGTTGTGGTTTTCTATTCAGTATTTCAAGGTAAACTCAAATATTCACAATAAATTAGTATGTCACATATGCACTTATTCTTAAGCAATATATTGACTATAAGCAAGTGCGAGAACGGGTTGCACACTGAGCCGCACCTTCTCACTCTCCCCTACAGGATATGTCACTGTGAGGGGGAGCAGGACTCTCCACTGATCGCTCCCTGCTACTGCTCCGGCTCCCTGCGTTACGTGCACCAGTCATGTCTCCAGCAGTGGATCAAGTCCTCGGACACCAAGTCTTGCGAGCTCTGCAAGTTCAACTTCATCATGCACTCCAAGATCAAACCCTTCAACAAGGTCGGTAGCTTCATCTGAGTTTGAACCATTCTCAGTGCTCTAGTACAGTGGTCTACGTCTTCGGCTCACAACCGAGGTTTGTAAATAGTTGTGTAAATGATTGGTGGAAAGGGTTCGGTAGTTCTACTCGTCAAGCCCGGCATGGGGCCCGGGGCTAGATTCACGAAGCAGTTACGCAAGTACTTACGAATGTGTACATCTTTTCCTCAATCTTTGACGGCTTTGGTTACATTTATTAAACAGTTTACAAGCATGAAAACTTGCCAATCAACTGTTGTTATTGTTATAAACAGCCTCCTGGTGCTTCGGAGCTCATTAACTGGTTTAATAATTGTAAACAAAGCCGTCAAACATTGAAGAAAGATGTTCACATTCGTAAGTACTTGCGTAACTGCTTCGTGAATCTGCGCCAGGCTTGTCATATGTAACTTGGTCCACCAGGCTGTTGCATGGAGCGGCCCGTTGGCCCACATATCCACTACAACCCGGTTGGTCCGTATCTCTTGCAGGAACTTAACTAATTGTTCACTTCCTTGTTATAGACTCAGCTACTCGGAACAGGTTCCAAGTAGCACGGGCTATGGTGAGCCCGTAGTGGACTTACCTGGCACAGGAGCGGACTGTTCACTTCCGATTCATGGGGATATTTAATTCAGTAGGGTGACATGGACCATATCCAGCGGTTAACGCATGTAGTTCACTCTATATAATAGATACGTTACAGCTTGAGAGCAATCTGTGTGTATATATACGAGGAAAACCCACATTTTGATGAATTAGAGAATGCTGAACGCGTTTTCGGCTGTATTCGCCATCATCGGAGCAAGATAGTGAGCCTTCTTTTAATCTGTCTCTCTTACAGGGGAAAATTTGTTGGTGATACTAGTCAGTAGTTCAGTGCGTGCGTGAGTGCGCTCCTGAATGCGCGTATGTATTTAGTGACACATTCTCTCGTGAATCATTAATGGAAATAAGCTCAACCACGCGAACCGTACAAGTGAGGATTGTAATTATACATATTTGAATGTCACACAAACGCTTGGAAAAGCTGGTACCTGTGTTATTATACTGTACTGAGAAGTCGTTGCTCTCTGTCTCTGTGTCTCTGTCTCTCTCTTTCTCTCTCTGTCTCTCTCTCTGTCTCTCTCTCTGTCTCTCTCTCTCTCCTCTCTCTCTTTCTCTCTCTCTCGGTAAATTTTCCCATAAATCTACAATATGTTGAACACAAAAGTGCTCAGCCATATTGTCTGAGCTCTGCAATAAGCGCCCTACAGTGCCTCGGGGCACACTCCACTCTCAGAGCTGCTCTCTGTTGGGACCCTACTTCCCTCCCTCCCTAAGTGCCTCACCTCTGGGGAGCACCCCCAGTCGAACTACGGACCCGAATTCCCACCGAACCCCCAACCTTGCACCCCGTAGCGAGTCAAGTAACCCGATCACTCCCTCGTCTTCCCGCTGGTGTGTGTGTACGGACACATGAAAACTCAGGGTTTAGCTAGGTCGGGTTCCCCCTCCATAAGGTTGTATCAACGAGGTCGCCAATCGGACGCGGCGTTCATCTGTGGTTAAATAATATTTTCGTACACTGGTATTCCACGTCACCCAGTCTGATGTGATGGTGGCCGCGGCGTTATGATTTGCGGACCGTTCATTCACTTCCCTGAGAAGGTTTGTATATTTACCTTCTGTAAATGGGTGCACTGTTTTTTTGAGAATGTGGGGGGGAGGGGTTGGAATTGGTTAGGTCAGGTGTTTAGGTTCTGTTGGCCATTATTTGTATTTGTAGTACGTGGGTGAAGCATTTATAGCGTTGCGGTTCGAACAAAAGTCATCAGTGAACAGCCCGTCCTCCAAACAAAGACCCAAAAGTGATTCCATCCACCCGCCAAACCCCCCTTTTATGAATGAAAAGCGGTTTACACACGACTCACAACTGCTGACGTTCGAACATATCCGGAACAAGTGCTTCACTGAAGAATTTGGTTCGAATCACAGCGCTGTAAATGCTTCACCCACATACTACAAATACAAATAATCGCCAACAGAACCTAAACACCTGACCTAACCTATGCCTATATATACACAATATGCTAATATATTATAATATTAATTTATACTTGAGGAAATTCTTGTTTTAAATGAACAGCACGTTAAAATTTATGAATGCGTCTGTGGGGGCGACCGCTGGATGTAATAATAATAATAATAATAATAATTTTTATTTAGGTAAGGTACATACATAAAGAGATTTTACAAAGTTTGTTGGCTTTATAGATAGAGCTAGTACATACAATGCCTAAAGCCACTATTACGCAAAGCGTTTCGGGCAGTTGAGTCGAGGACTTGAGTCGAGGACGGGTTGGTTGCGAGTCGTGTTTAAACCGTTTTTCATTCATAAACAGGAAATTTGACGGGTGCATGAAATCCCTTTTTTGTTTATACTTTAATACTTGGCCTTACTGGCCTTTAAGAGTCTGTGATTTATCTATCAGACCTTAATGTTTGGATTAATATAGTCTTAAGAGATAGTCTAGTTCATGATACTAAAGATGGTTATCTATCTAGGTCTAGTTCAACTTCGGCCTTGTTGCATGCTAATTTAGCGGTTATATCTGTGTCATAATGACGGGTTATATTTGTGAGATGGTATGGATACTGGAGAGATTATAAAGCCTTTATTCTCAGCAGCGATCAAGTTATTTATGATTGTAGTTATAAGGTTCTTGCTGTCTGTCTTGCAGCAGAATTTTCAATTGTTTGAAGAGTATAATTTATATTGCACAAAATTACTTTTCATTTGTTTTTTCACTGTACAGGCTGTTGTATTGTAGCTAGTTCTGTTAGCATACAGTGTAGCTAGTTCTGTTAGCATACAGTGTAGCTAGTTCTGTTAGCATACAGTGTAGCTAGTTCTGTTAGCATACAGTGTAGCTAGTTCTGTTAGTTAGTTCTGTTAGCATACAGGGTAGCTAGTTCTGTTAGCATACAGTGTAGCTAGTTCTGTTAGCATACAGTGTAGCTAGTTCTGTTAGCATACAGTGTAGCTAGTTCTGTTAGCATACAGTGTAGCTAGTTCTGTTAGCATACAGTGTAGCTAGTTCTGTTAGCATACAGTGTAGCTAGTTCTGTTAGCATACAGGGTAGCTAGTTCTGTTAGCATACAGTGTAGCTAGTTCTGTTAGCATACAGTGTAGCTAGTTCTGTTAGCATACAGGGTAGCTAGTTCTGTTAGCATACAGTGTAGCTAGTTCTGTTAGCATACAGTGTAGCTAGTTCTGTTAGCATACAGTGTAGCTAGTTCTGTTAGCATACAGGGTAGTAGCTAGTTCTGTTAGCATACAGGGTAGCTAGTTCTGTTAGCATACAGTGTAGCTAGTTCTGTTAGCATACAGTGTAGCTAGTTCTGTTAGCATACAGGGTAGCTAGTTCTGTTAGCATACAGGGTAGTAGCTAGTTCTGTTAGCATACAGTGTAGCTAGTTCTGTTAGCATACAGGGTAGCTAGTTCTGTTAGCATACAGGTAGCTAGTAGCTAGCATACAGTGTAGCTAGTTCTGTTAGTACAGGGTAGCTAGTTCTGTTAGCATACAGTGTAGCTAGTTCTGTTAGCATACAGTGTAGCTAGTTCTGTTAGCATACAGTGTAGCTAGTTCTGTTAGCATACAGGGTAGCTAGTTCTGTTAGCATACAGGGTAGCTAGTTCTGTTAGCATACAGTGTAGCTAGTTCTGTTATACAGTAGCTAGTTCTGTTAGCATACAGGGTAGCTAGTTCTGTTAGCATACAGGGTAGCTAGTTCTGTTAGCATACAGTGTAGTAGTTCTAGCATACAGTCTAGTTCTGTTAGCATACAGGGTAGCTAGTTCTAGCATACAGTGTAGCTAGTTCTGTTAGCATACAGGGTAGCTAGTTCTGTTAGCATACAGTGTAGCTAGTTCTGTTAGCATACAGTGTAGCTAGTTCTGTTAGCATACAGTGTAGCTAGTTCTGTTAGCATACAGGGTAGCTAGTTCTGTTAGCATACAGTGTAGCTAGTTCTGTTAGCATACAGGGTAGCTAGTTCTGTTAGCATACAGTGTAGCTAGTTCTGTTAGCATACAGTGTAGCTAGTTCTGTTAGCATACAGGGTAGCTAGTTCTGTTAGCATACAGGGTAGCTAGTTCTGTTAGCATACAGTGTAGCTAGTTCTGTTAGCATACAGTGTAGCTAGTTCTGTTAGCATACAGGGTAGCTAGTTCTGTTAGCATACAGTGTAGCTAGTTCTGTTAGCATACAGTGTAGCTAGTTCTGTTAGCATACAGGGTAGCTAGTTCTGTTAGCATACAGTGTAGTAGCTAGTTCTGTTAGCATACAGTGTAGCTAGTTCTGTTAGCATACAGGGTAGCTAGTTCTGTTAGCATACAGTGTAGCTAGTTCTGTTAGCATACAGGGTAGCTAGTTCTGTTAGCATACAGTGTAGCTAGTTCTGTTAGCATACAGGGTAGCTAGTTCTGTTAGCATACAGGGTAGCTAGTTCTGTTAGCATACAGGGTAGCTAGTTCTGTTAGCATACAGTGTAGCTAGTTCTGTTAGCATACAGGGTAGCTAGTTCTGTTAGCATACAGTGTAGTAGCTAGTTCTGTTAGCATACAGTGTAGCTAGTTCTGTTAGCATACAGTGTAGCTAGTTCTGTTAGCATACAGTGTAGCTAGTTCTGTTAGCATACAGTGTAGCTAGTTCTGTTAGCATACAGTGTAGCTAGTTCTGTTAGCATACAGGGTAGCTAGTTCTGTTAGCATACAGTGTAGCTAGTTCTGTTAGCATACAGTGTAGTAGCTAGTTCTGTTAGCATACAGGGTAGCTAGTTCTGTTAGCATACAGGGTAGCTAGTTCTGTTAGCATACAGTGTAGCTAGTTCTGTTAGCATACAGTGTAGCTAGTTCTGTTAGCATACAGGGTAGCTAGTTCTGTTAGCATACAGGGTAGCTAGTTCTGTTAGCATACAGGGTAGCTAGTTCTGTTAGCATACAGGGTAGCTAGTTCTGTTAGCATACAGGGTAGCTAGTTCTGTTAGCATACAGTGTAGCTAGTTCTGTTAGCATACAGGGTAGCTAGTTCTGTTAGCATACAGGGTAGCTAGTTCTGTTAGCATACAGTGTAGCTAGTTCTGTTAGCATACAGGGTAGCTAGTTCTGTTAGCATACAGGGTAGCTAGTTCTGTTAGCATACAGTGTAGCTAGTTCTGTTAGCATACAGTGTAGCTAGTTCTGTTAGCATACAGGGTAGCTAGTTCTGTTAGCATACAGGGTAGCTAGTTCTGTTAGCATACAGTGTAGCTAGTTCTGTTAGCATACAGGGTAGCTAGTTCTGTTAGCATACAGGGTAGCTAGTTCTGTTAGCATACAGGGTAGCTAGTTCTGTTAGCATACAGTGTAGCTAGTTCTGTTAGCATACAGTGTAGCTAGTTCTGTTAGCATACAGGGTAGCTAGTTCTGTTAGCATACAGTGTAGCTAGTTCTGTTAGCATACAGGGTAGCTAGTTCTGTTAGCATACAGTGTAGCTAGTTCTGTTAGCATACAGTGTAGCTAGTTATGTTAGCAGTTACAGTGTAGCTAGTTCTGTTAGCATACAGGGTAGCCTAGTTCTGTGAGCATACAGTGTAGCTCGTAGTTCTGTTAGCATACAGGGTAGCTAGTTCTGTTAGCATACAGGGTAGCTAGTTCTGTTAGCATACAGGGTAGGCTAGTTCTGTTAGCATACAGTGTAGTAGTTCGGTTATAGCATCAGTGTAGCTAGTTCTGTTAGCATACAGTGTTAGCTAGGTTCTGTTAGCCTGAATACAGGGTAGCTAGTTCTGTTAGCATACAGGGTAGCTAGTTCTGTTAGCATACAGGGTAGCTAGTTCTGTTCTAGCATACAGGTAGCTGTTAGCATACAGGGTAGCTAGTTCTGTTAGCATACAGGGTAGCTAGTTCTGTTAGCATACAGTGTAGCTAGTTCTGTTAGCATACAGTGGTAGCTAGTTCTGTTAGCATAACGTGTAGCTAGTTCTGTTAGCATACAGGGTAGCTAGTTCTGTTAGCATACAGGGTAGCTAGTTCTGTTAGCATACAGGGTAGCTAGTTCTGTTAGCATACAGTGTAGCTAGTTCTGTTAGCATACAGTGTAGCTAGTTCTGTTAGCATACAGTGTAGCTAGTTCTGTTAGCATATATGCTAACAGAACTAGCTACACTTTATGCTAACAGAATAATTCAGCTAGTTCTGTTACCATGTGTGTGTCCTGGAGGCCTGATCGAGGACCGGGCCGCGGGGACGCTAAGCCCCGAAACCATCTCAAGGTATTCTCAAGGTAACCAGAGTTCAGACAGTTGTTTAACCCGAGACTGTTAGCCAGTGTAACGTCATTACCTATATAAAACCTGCAGACAGCCGCAGGAACCAAAATCAATATACAGTAATATAATCTACGGAATCTGTTGCTCCTGTTTCGTTTAGTCTTACCAATGTTGCCAGCACCTTAAGAAGCAGTGGGTTTAGCCCCTTGTTCCACGTTCATACTCCTATAGGCGCTTACCAGTATTCACCCATGTGGTTGGGAACGAGCTTTAGCGCCCGGGTCCCTGCTTTGTAACCAATAATAGGGTGGTGTAATGAGTCCCTGGAGCTGTGGAGTGTCGTAAGTGTTTCTGGGTCAAGTTATTTTGGTGTTTGGTTCATGTGTGTTCTGGTTATGTGTGTGTTTTTTCTAGAAATATGTCCCACCCCTTGTGTGACTGCTGCTGGACCTGGCCACACCCCTTGTGTGACTACTGCTGGACCTTGTCACACCCCTTGTGTGACTACTGCTGGACCTTGTCACACCCCTTGTGTGACTACTGCTGGACCTTGTCCACCCCTTGTGTGACTACTGCTGGACCTTGTCACACCCCTTGTGTGACTACTGCTGGACCTTGTCCCACCCCTTGTGTGACTACTGCTGGACCTTGTCCCACCCCTTGTGTGACTACTGCTGGACCTGGTCCCACCCCTTGTGTGACTACTGCTCGACCTTGTCCACCCCTTGTGTGACTACTGCTGGACCTGGTTCCACCCCTTGTGTGACTACTGCTGGACCTGGTCCCACCCCTTGTGTGACTACTGCTGGACCTGGACCCACCCCTTGACCTGCTGTGGTTCCACCCCTTGTGTGACTACTGCTAGACCTTGTCCACCCCTTGTGTGACTACTGCTAGACCTTGTCCACCCCTTGTGTGACTACTGCTCGACCTTGTCCACCCCTTGTGTGACTACTGCTAGACCTTGTCCACCCCTTGTGTGACTACTGCTGGACCTGGTTCCACCCCTTGTGTGACTACTGCTAGACCTTGTCCACCCCTTGTGTGACTACTGCTAGACCTTGTCCACCCCTTGTGTGACTACTGCTAGACCTTGTCCACCCCTTGTGTGACTACTGCTCGACCTTGTCCACCCCTTGTGTGACTACTGCTGGACCTGGTTCCACCCCTTGTGTGACTACTGTTAGACCTTGTCCACCCCTTGTGTGACTACTGCTGGACCTTGTCCACCCCTTGTGTGACTACTGCTGGACCTTGTCCACCCCTTGTGTGACTACTGCTGGACCTGGTTCCACCCCTTGTGTGACTACTGCTAGACCTTGTCCACCCCTTGTGTGACTACTGCTGGACCTGGTTCCACCCCTTGTGTGACTACTGCTGGACCTTGTCCCACCCCTTGTGTGACTACTAACCACGAAGACCTGCCGGTGTGACTGAAGGATTGTTTAACTTAATGTAAATATAAATAGAAGATTTATTCCGATTCATTTATTAGTGAATGTATCCATGCTTGGTGTATTACAGTGGGTGTATTCATGCTTGGTGTATTACAGTGGGTGTATTCATGCTTGGTGTATTACAGTGGGTGTATCCATGTTTGGTGTAATACAGTGGGTGTATTCATGCTTGGTGTATTACAGTGGATGTATCCATGCTTGGTGTATTACAGTGGGTGTATTCATGCTTGGTGTATTACAGTGGATGTATCCATGCTTGGTGTAATACAGTGGGTGTATCCATGCCTGGTGTATTACAGTGGGTGTATCCATGCTTGGTGTATTACAGTGGGTGTATCCATGTTTGGTGTATTACAGTGGGTGTATCCATGCTTGGTGTATTACAGTGGGTGTATCCATGCTTGGTGTATTACAGTTGGTGTATCCATGTTTGGTGTATTACAGTGGGTGTATCCATGTTTGGTGTATCCAAGCATGGATACAGTGGGTGTATCCATGCTTGGTGTAATACAGTGGGTGTATCCATGCTTGGTGTATTACAGTGGGTGTATCCATGCTTGGTGTATTACAGTGGGTGTATCCATGTTTGGTGTATTACAGTGGGTGTATCCATGCTTGGTGTAATACAGTGGGTGTATCCATGCTTGGTGTAATACAGTGGATGTATCCATGCTTGGTGTATTACAGTGGGTGTATCCACGCTTGGTGTATTACAGTGGGTGTATCCATGCTTGGTGTATTACAGTGGATGTATCCATGTTTGGTGTATTACAGTGGGTGTATCCATGCTTGGTGTAATACAGTGGGTGTATCCATGCTTGGTGTAATACAGTGGATGTATCCATGCTTGGTGTAATACAGTGGGTGTATCCATGCTTGGTGTAATACAGTGGGTGTATCCACGCTTGGTGTATTACAGTGGGTGTATCCATGCTTGGTGTATTACAGTGGGTGTATCCATGCTTGGTGTATTACAGTGGGTGTATCCATGCTTGGTGTAATACAGTGGATGTATCCATGCTTGGTGTATTACAGTGGGTGTATCCATGCTTGGTGTATTACAGTGGGTGTATCCACGCTTGGTGTATTACAGTGGGTGTATCCATGCTTGGTGTATTACAGTGGGTGTATCCACGCTTGGTGTATTACAGTGGGAGAAGCTGGATATGTCTGGGATGGAGAGGAGGAAGATCGCCTGCTCTGTCACCTTCCACGTCATCGCCATCACCTGTGTGGTGTGGTCGCTCTACGTTCTTATAGAGCGGACTACAGAAGAGGTCCAGGTGGGGCCTTGTTGCTCTCTTCTCCTCTCTTGTGTACGATGTGGTGTTCTCTGTTGTGTATACTGTGTTCTCCTCTGTTGTTTATACTGTGTTCTCCTCTGTTGTTTATACTGTGTTCTCCTCTGTTGTTTATACTGTGTTCTCCTCTGTTCTTTATACTGTGTTCTCCTCTGTTGTTTATACTGTGTTCTCCTCTGTTGTTTATACTGTGTTCTCCTCTGTTGTTTATACTGTGTTCTTCTCTGTTGTTTATACTGTGTTCTTCTCTGTTGTTTATACTGTGTTCTTCTCTGTTGTGTACACTGTGTTCTTCTCTGTTGTGTACACTGTGTTCTTCTCTGTTATGTACACTGTGTTCTCTTCTATTATGTACACTGTTCTTCTGTTATGTACACTGTGTTCTCCTCTGTTATGTACACTGTGTTCTCCTGTTATGTACACTGTTCTTCTGTTATGTACACTGTTCTTCTGTTATGTACAATGTGTTCTCATGCTATGTACACTGTGCTCTCCTGTGCACTTTGAATTGGAAATATTTGAATGTAGTTACAACTTAAAAATACTAGTAGCATATCCAATTGTGTATTCAATTGAGCTTTAAGCACCCACCTGATAAAAAATCACTTAATACAATAAGTGATTTATTGGTCCAATAAATAAGTCAATAAGTCCATTCCTTCCCTCCTTCCCATCCCAAATCCTTATCCTAACCCCTTCCAAGTGCTTATATAGTCGTAATAACTTGGCGCTTTCCCCCCTGATAGTTCCCTATACAAACTCCTTGAAAGCTCAATTAAATGCGTATTGATTCTTTGAGAGATTAAGTCAGGTATGTTAAGAACATTTTACATCTGTTATCCCCACAGGAGGGAACCCTGGAGTGGCCCTTTTGGACTAAGCTCATAGTGGTGGCGATCGGCTTCACTGGAGGGCTTGTGTTCATGTACGTGCAGTGTAAAATGTACGTGCAGTTGTGCAAGAAATGGCGTGCCTTCAACAGGGTCATTTATGTCCAAAATGCTCCCGAAAAGGTTTGATATACGAAGTGTTTAACGTTTTTCTAATCATTGATTACCTATAATTCCCATTGCATGCTTACGCAGTATGATGAGGGAAGGTGTAGTGACGGTATATGTTATTACACTAACGCAACAGAAAATCGATTTTTTTTTTTTTAATGTGTGAGCAGGGGGTGAGAGAGGTAGGGAGGTGGGGGGGAATAGTCAGGAGTGGTTCACGGGAAAGAGAAAGTTTAGAATGAGGCGGAGGGAGAGACTGAGAACAAGGAGAGGAGTAGAAAGTAGAAAAGGTAGAAGGGAAGAGTTAAAGATGAAAGTAAAAGATAAAAGTAGCTGCCACCATCCCTTCAAGTACATACAAGACAAGGAATGGAACTTATCTGCACCATAATATTCTTATGTTAACATGTACTTGTACATTAAAGTCTTAAAACCAGTACTCTCAGAGGGCTGTCTACTCTAGCCTCAATTGACAAAGATCTAGGGAACAACATTACTTAATTTAAACAAGTTAATCAAATATATATTTAACATCAGATCTTCACTCGTATGGATATCATAATTTATTCATATCTTTGGATGTTAAATAACAATAATATACAATGTGAGCCACCAGACAAGACATTGAGGACAATACCGTACTGCTGTCTGCCCCTGAAAATCACACAACACCTGAATATTGGAAACACACCAAATTTGTCACCCTGACAGTTCACTCGCCAAATTCTCTGAGCCTAAGATGGATAGAGAGAAGGGGGGGCTACAGTTGACAGGCAGAGTACCCCCTTCTGGCCTGGGAAGGCCAGTCTGGTGGCTGGAGGCTCTGGACTAGCGATATAACTCGCTCCTGCTCGATCTTCCTGTGTCTCGTGTCGATTGTACAGTTCTATGGGTATTTATGTGGAATCCGGGAGCTAAGCAGGGGGGGGGGTATTTATGTGGAATCCGGGAGCTAAGCCCCCGCCTACCGAAGTAAGATAACCTCAGGCTCTCTACCTACAGTCGTAGACAGCAACAGAAGGCAAGGTCAATTCACAAAACCTGACCTGTTGTAATTAACACTCTAGAGGTGTAACATTTTAATTGCTAAGGTCAGACAACCTTGCACCTTTCAATATCCTGTCTGGCTGACTCATGTTGTATGTAAAATATTAAATAAAACACATTTATGGTGTTACAACACTGGTGTTGGTGTTAATACTGACGTAGGATAAGACTAATGGAAAAAAGTTAAGTGGACGCCATGTCTGTCTGTCTCTCTCTCTCTCCCCAAAGGTACCGCTGAGCGAGCGTGACCGAGCAGAGGTGCAGCGGGACACAGGTCCTCAGTACGGCAGCGGGAAGGACAACTGCAGCGCGTCTCACGAGTCCGAAAAATCCCTCATGGGTGTGTCTATCATCACAGGGGCAGCAACCCGTGGGCTAACTCCCACTACCACCATTACTACCACATCCTTCACACACAACACATGTGTCACCACTACCACTACCACCCTCACTTGCCCCAACACCTGCACAACCACCACCACCACCAGTCCGCCCGGAGCCGTCTGGACGGACGACCCAGCACCGCCTCCTGCCCCACCCCCGGCAGCATTCTCTACAGGTCTCACTGCCTCTGCCCACACTTTCTAGGTTTTTACTGCTTCCTACTATTATTTTTACATAAATTTTCAAGCATTTCTTTAATTAAAACTCATAAATTTATTAATTTTATATTTACCTAAGTTTTTTGTATAATTTCTAGACTTTTATCAAGACCATTTTATCCCCTTTTCTAAAATTTAAAAATAGTTACCCTTTAAGTCCCATTAGCAAAATCTGAACATAATGACACATATAAGGTCATGATGTCTTTTATATGGATTGATAACCTGTGGTTTTAATTATCATAGATTAAATATGAACGTGTTGTATATACGATGACTTTCATTGCATTTCCTCGGTAAATTAAATAATTTAGAATTCTTTGACAATCATAATACAAGGCACTGCATAAGACATCGATTCAATTCATTAGATTCGTAAATAATTTACCATTAACTATGTAATATATTTTATTAATTAATATATAGTATTTAATGTGATATATAATCTACAGGCACAAAAGTAATCCTGCGGTGAATGTAATGAATCTTCTTTCTGGCGAGTCCTTCTGATTGCTTCCTGGGCTAACTGCCTGGAGAATCCCAAGCCTATACTGCCCCACCAGGTCCTAGTGAGTAATAAATGCCCACTAAAGACCTGGATCAGAATCTTGTTTACACGTTAACGGCAAAGGGAATCTAAGAATGCTAGAACTAGTCATGTCTAAGAATACTATGTAAACCCAAGACGAGAGGAAAAACCACTAGCAAAGAAAAGCCGCCCAAAACAAGCAAAACATTGCATGGAGAAACATTGATAACCCTGTTATGTGTGCACACACTCATTAGTTAATTAACACCGCTGGTCATGCTTCCCTACCACCAGATGGCAGCCCAGTAGTCCAGCTCAGTGCCCCTGACCCCCAGAGCCCCCTCACGGAGGAAGGGCGGGAACAGGCAGCCACAGAGGGGATCCACATGAACGAGGCATTTCATCACATTAACGCTGCATTTTTATGGGGGCTCCCCTCAGTTCCTCCCTAAGCTATCTCACCGTGGAATACAACAAACACTAGGGCTTATTAGGGAAAGAGGGGAGGCACATCCATTAACTCAAAAAGGGAATCAACACTGGGTAACTCTTTTTCATAACCGTGCAACCCAAGTGCAGCTTAGGAACGTTCATCAAATATTGTGCAGCTTGGACCCAATTCCACCACCAAACACATGAGCCCAAATCTTCAACCACGACAGATTCACAAGAAAGCAGAAAGAGCTGCAAACTTGCGAACATTATGAGCCCATAGGTAGACAGCAGGTCGACTAAACTTAATCATGCTACGAACAACCTTGGACAACTGGACCCTACGACTCCCTGAGGATCACCCAAACAATGAAGAACCACTGCAATCAGACAAAAGTGATGCACCACTGGCCAAACAAACCAAGAATCAATAACCCATCCGGATCCCTACCATCTCAGTCTTTTTCAAAAATGAAGAAACTGCACCCAGGGCCCATAAAGAAAACCCTCATTTACAAAGTAGGGTATAAACTCATTACAGAGCTCCACAACCCTACAACAAAAAGCAACGGCCAATATAAAGCACTACAATACTTTAAGAAACAAATCCTGAACCGAGACACGGATAAATGTCAAGAAGTACAAGGACGTGATCCAGAGACCAAGAAGGCTCTGGAGGTCGCTAGCAGGCCACAAGTTAAGGAAAGTATGAGACAACTGCTGAAACAGCCCCAATGATATGTCAACATTGAAAACCAATGAAAGCAGCTCTGCCAAGGCCAACTGATAAGAAGAGTAAGTATTATACATGAGATGCCGATCAACAAGAACACAACAAATAGGTCAACGCAACAGGAACTGACACCAACACAGGTGGCAAAAAAAGACAGAAAATGGCAAAACAAATGCCATACATCCTTATACTACCAAAGAATGGTGCAAATGCAACACAGTAAGATCCACCAACTGAATCCCATACAGATGGCATGAAACCAGACTCAGAAAGTACAAAGAAGAGCTATGGAGAATGCCAAACAATTGAAGAAAATCTCTATACTTATCCTGACACAGAGTCACAGTAAGATTGCATGATTTCAGACATCTAGCATGAAGAGCCGGCCAGTAGGAGCACCCTGCCAGAAAATTTCTCTAGTTTGGATGTGGAGAGATAAAGGAAATCCCAACAACTTCAGTCCCGGTAAAACATGTCCACTGTAAAGGCTTTGCAATATGGAAATGGAGATTCATTTGAGAGCAGCCAAACATCTTGCAACGCCAACAGAAGAAAAAATAATCAACCATCCACTTCATAGTGATGGGACAGAAATGATAGACCTTCCGCGAGCATGTTGAACATGCCATGCACGTGAAACCATGTGAGTAGCCAAACCCCGAGAATCCAGAAGATGAGCCACCCATATGGTCCAGCCCCACAACACAAGAGACCAGAAAGCAGGTGGAGTGAACCCGTCTCACAGAGCCCAAAATGTCATACAGGACCAGAGTGCATGAGAATCTAGTTAGGAGCCATTTTGTAAACCACACCAGGCATGTGACTGATGTGGTTAGCTGGCTAGACCCCTGCACTGACTAGGCTGCCATCTGGTGGTGAGGAAGTAACAACTTTGATCATCATTAACACAGTTACCAATGTTTCTCAATGCAGATGTTTGTTTTTGGGGAGCTCTACCTTTTTGGTGGTTTTTAATTGCGACTTGGGTTAATCTAGTATTCCCAGACTCAATTGCCTTTAATGAATGGAACAGTCTGCCTCTGGTCTCCGGTAGATGCTTGTCTTACCGAGGCATGGCGGGACATGATAGGGTTGAAGCTATTCAGGCGGCTAACTAAGGGGCCACCAAAGGGAGCCCTCCCAGAAAATTTTTAAATTTGTAAAAGTATGATACAGATTATATAATATATATATATATATATATATATATATATATATATATATATATATATATATATATATATATATATATATAATATAGTATATCTATGAGATATATAAGAGATATTTGCTTGTCTGTCTGTCCAAGGTTGTAGACCAGATGCTTGGGGCTAGCATCACCCAACTTTTGCTGGGTTGTTGATGAGGGGTAGGTGACAAACATGGGCAGGTCAGGATCGGTCCCATTGCTCCTATTAAACAGAGGCTGCTGGCTTCTGTATAAATTGCTGGTCGAGTGCCTAGACTTTTTTACATTTTATTCTCCACCATGTAATATACAGCATATACTGTATATATATTTACAGGAAGGACTGTCATAAGCAGGTCATGGTCACCAGGTCAACTTGGGTATCAGGTCAGCCCCAGATTCCAACACTTGAAAAAAAAAGAGTGTAACTTTTTGGGGGAGACAACCACATCACCAGGATTCAAACCTGTGCTATCAGTGGTCACCCAAGTGGCCTAGAAAACCAGGTTTGAATCCTGTTCGGTTCATAGAGTTCTTACTGATTATATATATATATATATATATATATATATATATATATATATATATATATATGCGAACAAGCCTGAATGGTCCCCAGGACATATGCAACTGAAAACTCACACCCCAGAAGTGACTCGAACCCATACTCCCAGAAGCAACGCATCTGGTATGTACAAGACGCCTTAATCCACTTGACCATCACGACCGGACATAATGAGGTGATAGCCGAGGCTATTTGAACCACCCCACCGCCGGCACTCGGATAGTTATCTTGGGCATAGCATTTTACCAAATCACCTCATTCTTTGGGGCAACACGTGAGGAACACAAATGCGAACAAGCCTGAATGGTCCCCAGGACATATGCAACTGAAAACTCACACCCCAGAAGTGACTCGAACCCATACTCCCAGAAGCAACGCATCTGGTATGTACAAGACGCCTTAATCCACTTGACCATCACGACCGGACATAATGAGGTGATAGCCGAGGCTATTTGAACCACCCCACCGCCGGCACTCGGATAGTTATCTTGGGCATAGCATTTTACCAAATCACCTCATTCTTTGGGGCAACACGTGAGGAACACAAATGCGAACAAGCCTGAATGGTCCCCAGGACATATGCAACTGAAAACTCACACCCCAGAAGTGACTCGAACCCATACTCCCAGAAGCAACGCATCTGGTATGTACAAGACGCCTCTCATGTGTTCCTCACGTGTTGCCCCAAAGAATGAGGTGATTTGGTAAAATGCTATGCCCAAGATAACTATCCGAGTGCCGGCGGTGGGGTGGTTCAAATAGCCTCGGCTATCACCTCATTATGTCCGGTCGTGATGGTCAAGTGGATTAAGGCGTCTTGTACATACCAGATGCGTTGCTTCTGGGAGTATGGGTTCGAGTCACTTCTGGGGTGTGAGTTTTCAGTTGCATATGTCCTGGGGACCATTCAGGCTTGTTCGCATTTGTGTTCCTCACGTGTTGCCCCAAAGAATGAGGTGATTTGGTAAAATGCTATGCCCAAGATAACTATCCGAGTGCCGGCGGTGGGGTGGTTCAAATAGCCTCGGCTATCACCTCATTATGTCCGGTCGTGATGGTCAAGTGGATTAAGGCGTCTTGTACATACCAGATGCGTTGCTTCTGGGAGTATGGGTTCGAGTCACTTCTGGGGTGTGAGTTTTCAGTTGCATATGTCCTGGGGACCATTCAGGCTTGTTCGCATTTGTGTTCCTCACGTGTTGCCCCAAAGAATGAGGTGATTTGGTAAAATGCTATGCCCAAGATAACTATCCGAGTGCCGGCGGTGGGGTGGTTCAAATAGCCTCGGCTATCACCTCATTATGTCCGGTCGTGATGGTCAAGTGGATTAAGGCGTCTTGTACATACCAGATGCGTTGCTTCTGGGAGTATGGGTTCGAGTCACTTCTGGGGTGTGAGTTTTCAGTTGCATATGTCCTGGGGACCATTCAGGCTTGTTCGCATTTGTGTTCCTCACGTGTTGCCCCAAAGAATGAGGTGATTTGGTAAAATGCTATGCCCAAGATAACT